GTCGCCCTCTTCTACAACCATAACCCGCAAGTAAGTAACTAAGAATTGACTACATGTTTTTCTTTTTGAGTTCAAAAACGATAGAAACCATCTGTCTATTTTCTCAATTTGTTTTTTCAAATTAAGTTTAATATACCCTTTGTGTGTTGTGTTATTAATTATGAATTTATGATATGGTAATTTAGTTTCTTGTTAATATTTAATATACCTTTTGTATGTTGGATTTGCATTTGAATAAATGAAACCTTACCCCAAAAATTATGTTTGTTTTATATATACACATAGAGACAACTTTTTATTTGTTAGTTGATATATTTAGCTAAATATAACTATTATAGTTCAAAATGAAATATAGGAACAAAGAATCAATGGCAACACAATCTCAATCTCAATCCCAAACTTTCGGTCAAGTGAATGTAAGGACTAAGACGGATAAAGCATGAGAACATATAACTCCATCAAAGGATGACCAAGGAAACAATATTTACATATGTAATTTTTGTTAAAAAAATCATGGTGATGGTATAATCAAAGCTAAGAAACATCTTGCAGGTGTTACTAGTGACATATCACCTTGTACAAAAGTAACTCCAGAAGTTCGTTTTACAATGCAAGGTATTTTGAAAGAACAACACAAAGGGAAAAACGTAAAGCTAGTGGTGGCGGCATAAACAATGTTACTATCTCGGATGACAATGAATATATGGAAGAAACACAAATTTGAAATATCAAAGCATAATCTTTTAAAGAGGGGAAAAAGAAAGGTACATCAAGTGTTCATCCTTTCTTTACAAAAGGTATAAATGATAATTTTTAACCCACTATTAAATCTACCATGTAAACTAAGGAAATAATACAGGATTTAGCTATTGCGACGTGGTTCTATGATGCATTTATACATATGAATGTTTGTAACTCTCCATATTTTCAACATATGATAGATAAAATAACAGGTATTGGTTATGAGTACAAAGCACCTAATTATCATGCTTTGAGGGTAAACTTATTGTTAGATGCAAAGAAACTTGTTTCGTTGTTAATTGATTCATACATAAGTGAGTGGATTGAAAGCGGTTGCACGATTAAGAGTGATGGGTGGAGGGATATTAGGCAACACCATTCGATTAATTTCCTGGTTTATTGTCCTAAAGAAATATCATTTCTTAAATCTATTGATGTATCTGATATAGAAACAATGCATTGTATTTGTGTATTTTGTTTGTTGAGATTGTTGAGATGGTAGGACAAAAAAATATGGTACAAATCGTTACTAACAATGCCAATTACAAACTTGTCGGTACTATGCTATGTGAACCAATTTCTCAAACACAAGGTAACACTTTTTTTATCTATATTAATGTATTATTGTAATTTCAGTTTATTACCAGTCTACTTAATGCAACATTGTTTTTTTATATTGTAGAAAACGAAGTTGGTCATGTTTTTTTATGAGAATGAAGTTTATAATGAATTTTATTTATTAAGTGATCGTGAAATTGATACGTTTAACACTCCAAAATATATATATATATATATATATATATATATAATTTGACCTACAACTTGTTTGTCATATTTATTTTAATGTTTCTCCTTTTAGATGTTAAATTATTGTTTTTTACTTTTTGTATATATTAATATGTATGTGGATAAAAAAAATACATAAGAATTCATAAAACCCATTGACAGGTAAAAAAAACGGTTTTTAAAACATTGGATAAGTTTGCTATTAAATCCACGTCAAAGTGAGATGTAGATACAGGCGCATGTTAGAGTGGGACAGTGAACATGATTGAATTTCGGATACTTGTCTTCTTCAATATATTTTTTGTATTTTAAAAATAATAAATTTTGGATCATGGTCCAATCGGATAAGCAAGCAATGCCAAGAAAACGTCAACAACTTTGACTCTCATCTGTACCCTACACGCGTCACTTATTAGCTACCATCAACGGCTGAGATTAATAACTGCAAATAACAGCCGCCGTACCGATGTACCATAACACATCCCATTTGTCTGTGTGCAAAATAATACAAAACCATCTGTTGCTAGTCTCAGTCATCACTTCATCGATCGCTCTAGAGAGAGAAAATGGTGATAGAAGAAGAAAGTCCAAGGAGTCCAGAGGCGAAGCTCGGGATGGAGTTGGAGGAGCTGTGGGACATACAGGAGGCTCAGCTTACTCCGACCGAGAAGCTCAACGCTTGTTTCGAGAGTATTCCTGTTTCTGAATTCCCTCATGCTTCGCCTTCACAAGGTATCCCTGCTTAATTCTTTTGATTTTGATTGATTTTACTTATTCCGATTGGCCCTGATATCGCATATACATCCGTTGATTTAAACCTATTTGGATGATCGTATCGTTTTTTATTATACAGGACGGATTAGATCATATGGTTACAACGACGACTGTGTGATTGGTCTCATATTGCGGATTTTATATGTAATTAGTTGATCGATACTTATTAGTTCCTAATTTCCTATCGTCTTTTACGCAATATGTGTCATAATTACCATATTTAGTTAGTTGAGTGTAGTAGCGTGCTTCTCATCGTTGTTATCGTCTACTGTGTTTGAAAGTCATAGCATACGGCCAATCGTACCTGATTGAAATTATTTTTAGATTTATGCTGAGAACAAATGGAAATGATTTATGTGTAATTCTATTCCAGATTTCAATCGATCGACAGCTATTCTCATAATTCCCATCTTCTTTGACGCAATCGATTAGACAAATCAATCAAACGTAGTGGTGTGCGTGTACCTCTGATCGCTGTTGATATCAGAAATTAAGTTCATAACGACTTTTTTTTTTTGCAGTAATTGAGATTAAATCGGATGCAAGTCTGGGTGAAGCTGTCCGATTGTTATCCCAAAACAAAATTCTTAGTGCACCTGTTGTAAACGTCGATGCACCAGAGGATGCTAGTTGGATCGACAGATATCTTGGTATGGTGGAGTTTGCAGGCATCGTCGTGTGGATTCTTCATCAGGTCTGCATACTTGTTTCCTTCAAATTCACCATCATTTTCTCTCAAATATAATTTAAACATCATTCGTATTAAATATCATACAGTCAGAAAAGAACGATGGATCCGATGTATTCTCAAGCGCATTAGACAACTCTCTGAGACCTGCTGTTGTTGCAGCAGCTGGTGGAATGTCTTCTCCAAGATACAGAAGTTCACAGCCTGAATCTCCCAAAACCGCTGGAAACTTTTTCGAGTTATTAACTTCCTCCGACTTCTATAAAAACACAAAGGTAGTCAACATTCTTTCTTTTCTTCCATATGGGTTGTGTGCTATTTCTCGCATTTAACCCCTTTTTTCATCTTCGTTTAGGTTAAAGACATCTCAGGATCATTTCGATGGGCCCCATTTCTGGCATTACAAACATCAAACTCGTTTCTCACCATGCTTTTACTCCTCTCAAAGTACAGAATGAAAAGCGTCCCAGTAGTGGATCCAGATGATGGAAAGATCCACAACATCATCACCCAATCTGCTGTGATTCACATGTTGGAAGAATGTGCGGATTTACAGTGGTTCAAAAGCTGGGGATCTAAGAAATTATGTGAACTTGGTCTTCCCCTGATGAACACCAGTGAAGTTATTAAAGTGGATGAAGATGAACCAGTTTTGCAGGCTTTTAGACTAATGAGACAGAAAGGAATTGGTGGATTACCTGTTGTTAATGGAAACAAACCGGTTGCTAATATTAGCATCCGAGATATTCAATTCCTCCTAATCGCCCCTGAGATTTACAAAGATTACAGGTTAGTGTCTCTTTCTTTTTGGAACCCTTAATTTAATTTTGTGATCCAATATTTATATGATATATTTATGACTTGGCAGATCCATCACTGCTAAGAACTTTGTGACGTCAGTTAAGAGGTATTTAGAAGAGAACAAGAAGGCGTCACCTTTGGTGAGTGGGATGATTACTTGTAGAAAAGATGATACACTTAAAGAAGTGATATTGAAGCTTGATTCAAAAGAGATACATCGTATATATGTGGTGGGTGAAGAAGGTGATCTTGAAGGTGTGATAACACTTAGAGATATAATCTCGAGGATTGTGCATGAGCCACGTGGTTACTTTGGTGACTTTTTTGATGGGGTGTTGCCTTTGCCTGCCAACAGCCGGGTTTGAGTTTAACTTTCACTTGTATTGTATTTCTAGTGAAGTTTGTTTGTTTGATGTGTCGTGTCTAACAAGAGTGCTAATCTGTTTGAGTTTGTAAGCTTTGTTGAACTTGGTATGTATCTATTTTCTTGTTTTGTTTTCAAGGGGTTTGTTTTTGCTTGTGATGTAAATCATAAAATATATGTTTAGTTTTGCATTATTTTTAACTCTCAATAAAATATATGATGTAACAACTGTTTTAACTGATTTTCTTCATAATCACATTCACATGTAAACAAGTAAATTCCCTCTTATCAGTATTGAAAATTTCCAAATGTGTAGGTATTGATGTAACAAATCCCTTTTTAAGAAAGCTTGAAAAGGCCACACGCGATAATAGACATACATGTGGTTTATGGTTCTTTTAAAAAAAATTCAGGTACAAAAAGAGTGAACAACCAACCATCAGAAGAATTGATTTGGCTCTCAGAAGAAAGAACCAAAATATGAACAGAAACCATTAAAAGAAGTGTCACGTTGCCTTTCCTTGATTGGTTTTTGAAAAGGCTAATCACATAAAATAACAACTTACTTTTTTTTCAATTCTCATTCATAAGGAATTTATGTTTTATATGAAACTGATTTCTTCCATTTTAAACAATACATCTTAATTTTTGTAGTAATGAAATCCAAAGTATATTGCTATTTTGCAGGGGGAAAACAACAAATGCACCATATAGATTCTTGTCCATTTAATTAAACCTTCCTTCTAACTTTTTTCAGTAAAAAAATATGGTTCAAATCAGAAGTTAGCATTTAATTAATTTTTGTAGGAATGGATGATGGATAATTTCATTTTTCTTTAATACTCTTTATCTCGGGGTGGTCATGTAGAACACTATAGCCTTAATAATATGCAGATGTTGTCAACAAGTGCAAGATAATATAGTTCAAAAATATTATTATAATATTCTCCTTTTTCAAAATATGCTTTCACAGTCACAGGCTAACAGCTCCTGTTAGTATCAAAATTCTATTTTTTTTCTTTTTCTTGATCAGCAGAAAGGTGGACAAGTCTTGAACCTGTAAATACACAAGAAAAGGGAAAATATTAATACCAAATTATCACATTAAAAAAATATGCAACCATGAAAACATTAGACATACTTTGCAAGAGTGATGCATCCACCCTATGTACTTTTTCTTTTGATATTATTATTCAAAACAAAAGGCTTCCCTTCAAACAAATCCATCACATAATTCTCCAAGTCATCAGGGGAGTATTTTATATACTTCCCTCCATGTCTTCCACTCTCTAATTGACTCCCAAATCTCCCCAAAAAAGCACGATATGCAGGAAGAACTTTCTCTGATATAGAAATCCTAAGTTCCTCCCTTAGTTGATTATCTGGAACCTTCCAAGCTGATTGTAACCTATAAATATCTTCAAAGCACAGATTAAAGTTCTTAAATCTTTCTTTAAGAATCACCTTGAAGGAAGCACTTGAACTCCCACCAATTCCTTCATCTTTCAGACACAACAAAGCTTTGCTCCATGCTGCTCTCAGATAACTTGTGTGCCATTGACGAATCTTGCCACGTCGTTTGCGAATCCATTGATCACCCATGAGTGTTCGAAGCTCTGAATCTTTTACTTTTTGAATAATGTAAAGAATGTTATTCATCAAGAATATGTACCTCATTGCACCATCTTCATATAATGTTGACTTTTCCTCAATGTTTGACTCCAAAGAAGTGATCAGTAACTGTAGACGGGTTCCTACAGGGGAGATAGCTGCAACACATTCACCATTGTCAATTTGTGATGAACCAGAGTCATCTGGTAAGAGGGAGTTTAATGTGTCACTGTAATCCACTAGTAATTTCATGTAATTCATGACATAACGGGTTATTGGATGAATGTCACCACCATGGATAGGTTTAGAGGTTTCAGCCTTTACAGCTTTCTCAAATTCAACAAATGTCCCTACAGCTGACATGCTGAGTCCTTTCAAAACTCCCTTCACTTCGCTGCAAACTAATTCTCCAGAGTCATATAAAGCTTCTAAATCTTGTGAAGCATCTACAAGAACTTCGTACATGTCAAGAATTCGAAATAGTTTCTCTGAAGATCTTGCACCAATGGCTACTGCCTCACCAAAGTTCAAGAGCTGCATCACGCAACCTTTTGTCGTTTCAACAAAGCAGAGTTCTTGAATAAGTTCTGATTCGTTGAAGACCTGTTCACATAAACGCTTTTCCCCAAATAAGAGAACCCTAACTACAACTTTGATAGCTAAGATCCATTTCTTGGCTTTTTCATCCAAAATCTTCCATTCAATTCTCTGTACCTCTTCGATGCTATGCCTTTCCACGCCGAGAATCGACAAACACTCATCCAGAACATCACGGCGGACGTTACTGTATACCTGGCAGCACTCTTTTTCGTAGCCTGACCTAATCATCCGATCAGCGATGTCTTTAAGCTCCTCTATTGCTTCAACACGAATCAAATCCACACAAAAATCACCGCCTAAGCTTGCACCTCTCTCGTGATGATAGCCGCTCCCTTCTTGTTCGTCCTCTCGAAAACTCTCTACTTCGTCACCTATTTCGCCATTGTTGAAGGTAAAGGAGCGTGAAACTGAACGGACAGATCCGTACAACCGATCTGCGTCTAGAGGAACAGTGTTACGGATCAAAATATGACGAAACTCGTCCTCGAGCCTCGACATAGCCAGCTGCAGCGCGTTCTCAGCTCGATCCATGACGTCATCGTCTTCCTCCGATTCGACATTCAGACCTTCCGTCAACTGAATAATCAGATCAACCGCGGCCAAGTACTCTGAAGCCTCTTCAGGACATTCCTCCCAGGGCAACGAATTCCTCGACGACGGATTACCGGCACCGCCTGGATCATGTTCAAGAATAATCTTCTCGGCTCTATCAAATTGATTCCTAGTTTTGCTATCATCGGCACCGCCGTCCATCAAATCGGAGATGTTTGACAACCGATTATCAAATCGAGAAAGGATCAAGATCATGTCTTCCGTTGCTTGTGTATTCATGTTTAGACTCTTTACAATTTGCTGAGCTGTGGCTAGAACTCTATCTTGCCCTTCCATTGTTGTCGCCATCACCGGACTTTATATGAAGCGTGTATGCTCGTGTCCGTCTGTGTACCTGATTTCCGTTCTACGGCGAATGACGATCAAATGTGTGTGTGTGTGTGAAGATCGACCGGTTTTGCAAGTGATATTAAGCAATTGACGAATCCATTCCTCTTCCCACCCACGGTGTACGTTTGTGTTCCGGGATTCTTTTGCGATTCCTTTTTGGCCGGCCTCAACGGGGTTTCGTCACACATTTCGGTGACGGGTTTATAGGAAATATTTTTTTAGAGTAAAGACAAAATTACACTTTGGTCCTTATGGTTTATCTGATTGAAAAAATATTTTTGGAGTATAAACAACTTTACCTTATGGGAAATGGAGTAATCCAACTGTATAAATAACCATTTTAATGAAAATAACCAATAATTTTTTTTAGGGAAATTTACCACATAATTCAGAATATCGTGTTTTGTTCCGGACTTGTGATCTATATATATATATATATATATATATATATATATATATATATATATATATATATATATATATATATATATATTGTTCCGAAGTGGGTGTTGGTTGGTGGGAATTTGGTCTGGAATCTGACACCCCGTACTTTCTTGACTGAAAAAGTGTATTCCTGATCGAAGTCCGAATCGGCCGTACATTCCAGAGTGTTATTCTGGAGAGCTAGAATTAGGGTTTTTGTATGTTTTTGTTCCAAATATGCAATACATATGTGTGTTTAATATATTTGTGTGTTTGATACTGTCCATAAACATTATGGAATGAGTATGTATACATGTTTTTTTGAGTTCCAGTTTTTAGTAGAGGAAAACGGCAGCGCATCAACGGATGTATGTAGTGTCTAGCTCTGAATTACACATGCTTTGGTGTAGATATAAACAATGATATGGTTGCTTCCAATTCTAGGTTACACACTAATTAAATTCGTCTATCGTTTCAATGTCCTGGAACAAATAGAGTTATGCAGATTATTGACGATAGTGATGTTATATATTTTCTTAGTTTTGTTACTAATATGCCTCCCAACACAGTACAATTGTTTGTTATTAATAATGTTATGGAAAGTCGTACTAATCGATTTCTTGAGGAAAATCTTTATGGAAATGGTTTTTTCCGATGCTAGAAGTAACCAAATGTGTAATTTATTACATATGTCGACCGACCATATTCCTTTTTACACTGACCCTATACATGGGTGTGATTATAGGTCTAAAGGTAAGGTTGTTGTTCATGTTGACCTTACTATTGATGTTGGTGAATCTGCAAATGATGAAGCAAAACTAATGATGTTGGTTGATGATGGTAATATAATTCCACATGGATAGTTGAACATTTTCATATTACACTGAATTTGATGGGGATGATCATGAAGACAGAGAAGGTGAAAATGATCCCTTACAAACCCGAAAAGCACAACAGGAAAAGTTTGCTTTTTATATTTTCGGTTATGAAGAAACACAACCCACCCATTCGGGTATGCCCGAACCTTTACCGCTGCCCGAATTAGCTCAACAAAATCATAAAGAGGCCACAACGCACAACTATAATTCTCATATGAAGTTATACCAAATCTTCAAAAAGAAAGAAGCACTTAAGCTAATTTAGTATTGAAAAGTTTTAGTGAATGTTTCCATTATAAAGTTAAAAAATCTACAAAAGACAGGTTTGAAGCTGTTTGCTATATGGATAATTGTGACTGACAGATTAGGGCAACAAAACATAATAATATTGATACATTTTAAGTGGTCAAACTATTGGAGAAACACACTTACTCAAACACACAACTACATCCTCGTCACCGATAAACCAACAAATTGGTAGCGGGCCACTTGTTGAAGGACATATTAGTTGATAGTACCAGTAATATGTTGCGGGGGAAACATATACAACGAACTTTAAATGACCGTCTTTTTGTACATATTTCATATTGGCAAGCATGAAATGCTAAAATGTATGCTCTAAATCTATTGAGAGGGACCCCTGAAGAAAGCTTTCAAAGACTACCTTTATAATGTTACAGAGAAAAAGAATCCAAGGACGGTTACATATATAAATATGAGTGATGAAAACAAATTTGAATACTTTTTCATGGCTATCGTTGTGCAATAACATATTTTATATACCTACTTCTTTATATTTAATGTCCATACACATGTGTTCGCTTTAATTAGATTATTAATTACTTTATAGGTCCGAGCATTTCAAAGATGTTTGCATCTCATTTGTAACATCCCAGAATTTACAACCAAAATTTTCATTTTTATTTAATAATTATAAAACATTTGTCTGAAAACATCATAGTGCTACTCATATCAAAACCAGTGTATCCATAATTAAAATATGTAATAACACAATAATATCAGAGTACAAAATCCCAAGAATTCATAGTGTGGAAAAATCATGTGTGATGTGCTGCAGTCAAGCCGACTCCTTTCCCTTTGAAAAGGAAGTACCTGAAACTAAAAGTGAAAACTGTAAGCATAAAGCTTAATGAGTTCTCCAATCATACCACATACCATACGATAACATACTGCCTAGAATATTTGGGTGTTGGCCTACCCCTTCGGTCTTTTTCAACTGGTAACCTGCCTAGCATATCTAGGTGTTGGCCTACCCCCTCCGCCTCTTTCAACATGTAACTACCTAGCATATCTGGGTGATGGGCTACCCCTTCGGTCTCTTTCAACCGGTATTCGGGGACTATTTCACCCCTACCACTACCATATAATATCATAGCATATACATACAATTCTCCTACTTGTAGCATATCTGGGTGTTAGCCTACCCCTTCGGTCTCTTTCAACCGGTAACCTAACTAGTATATCTGGGTGTTGGCTTACCCCTTCGGTCTCTTTCAACTAGTAACCGAGGACTATCCTACCCCTCCTACCACTATCACACAATATCATACCATACTAGCACATAAAGCATAATAGATAATGACATACCAAACAATTATCACACAAACAATCATCTCAACTATAATTAGCTACTAGTTAGCCGACATTGGTGCCTTCGACCCACTTCTATCGGAAGGTAATTCACCTTAAATGTTGTGAAGTAGCTGAACTGTGTGAGGCTCTAAAATATTGTAACGCCCCGTTCTAAAAGTAATTATTTATGGATTCCCGAAATCAAGAGTAAGGGCGTTTCGGTCTTTTATGGGCAATGGGTTTTCATTCGAGAATGTTTCGGACCAGGGTATGTTTCTAGAAGCGTAGGGCTTCTTGCCACCTTTCCGTGGACATAAATTTCGTCGGGAACGGATCTAGAATAAAGGAGTTATGATACTTTGAAGATATTGGCAACTATGGTCCTTATGGAGAAAAAGTGACCAGAAAGGGGCATGCATGCTTTTGGGACACGCGTGGCTACGCTCAACATAATAGAGTAATTGGTCGCGGGTGCAAGGGCGCGTACGCCCAACGTACTAGAGGTACACCCAGCGTACGCTAAAGATCAAAACCCTAATTTTGGTTGATCCACTATCTATAGAACATAATCGCTTCAACCTTAGCCCCCATATCAGCCTCCTTATCCTCAGAAAAATCCTAGATAGTTGTCCATCTCCATTGTTGAGTGTGTTTGGCCTTGTGGAGCTTAGTTTGGCAAAGGAAAGCTTAGAAGAAGAAAGAAGAGGTTGGAAAAGGATGAAACTTGGTGGCTGGAGCTTGTAGATCCGAGATAGCATCACCTTTTGCAACTATTTGGAGGTATAAAGTTCACAACTTTCCTTGTAGAAATATAGATCTAGCTGTTGTGAGATTTGGGATCTTTTTAGGTCCAAAGATTCGACCTTTATGGTGTAACTTCGCCCCAAAGCTTGGGATTGCCACCCTTAGAGCTAAAAATGCCCCATGAGTAGTAAAGTCTTGATTTTTATGGTTCTATTAAGCCTATGCATGAGATCTAGTCCCCTTTTATGGATGTAGAAGATCACTTTGGAAGTTTGAGTTGGTTTGAGCCATATAAAGTCACTAAGTCAGTGACTTTATGGTTTAAGGCGTAAAATAAGACTTGGATATGAGTTGGTAGCTTCTGGATCGAGATATTCAGCTCTTAATAGAAAAAGGACTTAACAGGGGAATTACGCTGAGCGTAATTGTAGGTATGCCTAGCGTACTCACCTTTTTGCCTGTACACTTAGCGTACATGGGGGGGGGGGGGTACGCCGCGCGTAATCTGTATGTATGGATCATGAGTTTTTGGGCCGTGTTTTGGGGTATGTTTAGGTATTTGGGCCTTTGTGGGCCCTCAGAAATCATATTATATAGGTAAAGGAATATAATTTGGGATTAGGGTGAGGCCCATTAAGGTATTGGGCCCAATGTAGCAAATTGGGCCATTAGTGGATCACTAGTGGGCTTGAGAAGCTTACCTAGTGTTAGGCTTTTCATTTTATGGTGTTGGGCCTTAGCCATGGATCAGATTTGGGTTAAGGATAAAATGGTCAATTTACCCATAGAAGGATATTGTTTTGGGCTAAGTGTTATTGCGGCATTGATAGTTCGGGGAGCTAGAGGAGCAGTGGTGCAGGGATTGTTAGATAGCAGTTAGAAGGGTACCAATAGTGTTTCAACAGATTTAGGTGAGTTATCCTCACTATACCAAGGGTCTAAGGCACGAAGGCCGACCCTTTGAATTGTTATTTAAGTGATTGCTATTGTGATATGTTGGTTTGGTATTTTGCTAAAAAGGATGATTATATGCTAGTATGGTTGATTAGATTGGCATCCTGTTAGACTGGATGTGGTTATGCTTAGTGACCTGTAGCTGGTCGGACTGTATATGTGCTGGTAAGAGATTACCTGTGAGATGTGTGCATGTTTGAATAGCTTTAAAGGGTATTCCATCCCACTAGGATGATATGGCCCTAGTATGTTGTTTCAATAGACTGTTATGTGATTATTTGATAAATGCACATGTTTGCTAGTATGCGGGCATTCCAACCCGATGGTTGTGGGCCAAGAGTATTCCATCCCGGT